TCTCCTGGACTTGTTCTGATTGGGGTGGAGTTCTGGGATTGTGTTTTAGTGTTTCGCTTTGACATGTTTGCTATCGGTTGCAGAAAGCTCAGTTACCCTCTTCAGTAGCTGCACAGCCAAGACTACTAGTGTTCCTGTTTTTCCTGTTGTTCAGGTTTGCCTCTGTGTGACATCTGAGTAGCTCTACTTAGCCTCGGGTTTTCCGGCAGTTTTTGGTTTATATCTAGTTATCCCCGTTCTCAGAGGCAGGCACTTGTGTCATTTGATGGCCAACCTTCTGATCCAGCATCCCCTTGCAGTTCAGTGCTCGTGCACAACCTGACTCAGGTTGCACTGGTGCGACAATCCCGCCCCAGTGGACCTATGTCTCCAGGCGGTTTAGGGTACAGGCATGATTTGGACACAAACTGCAGGGTCTACAGTTTGGGAACCACCTAAATCTATGTCTCCACTCAGTTCAGGACTCATACAGGAACCAGATGCAGCCCAGATGGGCAGCAGTCACAGACTTCCCCAGCCTTTGACTCGCTGGAGGGTCTGGGCAAAGGCAAAGCACAGACTCGAATCCACGGGTCCTGCAGCTCCCGGAGTACTTGCTGTCTTAGCGCAGGGTGCGTGGGGCTCAGAGAGTCTTCTCTCCTGGCTCAGAGAGCCTGCTCGCCCAACCCCCAGCCAGAGAAGTCCCCTGGGCCTCTCAGTCTGGATCTCCTCTCTGCCGCCACAGCGACTCAGTCTGTAATGTCGGCGGGGTCCTTGTTCGCCCGTTGTGCCTTCAGGGATTAGATGGGAAGTACCTGGCTCTCTCCGCGTGTTTCAGCTGGGAATCATGGTGGTGTGCATCCAGCACAGACTCGAACCCATGAGCCCTGCCACTCCTGGTGTACTTGCTGTCTCGGTGCAAGGCACGCATGTCTCCATGAGCCTGCTCACCCCACCCATCTCCTGGGCCTCTCTGCCGCCGCAGCAACCTCCTTGCCCCTCTTGATGTGAGCAAGAAACCCCCACTAGATGAACAGCACTCCTACCTCACATAAACAAGTAACCCTGTAAAAGATGAATAGCAGCCCTTGTCCACACAAGCAAGCATACCTGCAGTACAGAGGAGATGCACCCTATGACACAAGGGGAGGACCATCTACCAACTCCAGCTCTGTGTTTTTATTTCCCATGGCACAAGGCAGCAGAGATAAGCATTAACCAACTGATCTCATCTTGGATGAGGACAGTACTTGGTGAGAGAAGAGGCATTCAAACCCCACTATTATAAACATTAGGTGCTATAGTCCACTTGAAACCCACCCTAAAGTCTACATCCTGCAGAGACTTGATCATGTTCCCTATCTACCAAAGGTGGTAAGGACATTACTAGAATTGGTGGGAAACCACATTCTGTGGGAGAATGAGCAGTGTGGCTTCAGGTGCACCTCAGAACCCCAAAGACCCTGAAAGTAGGCATAGAAAATCATGACTGGTTGTTCTTAAGACTCCTGATCTTGGGAAAAAAACACTCATTGAAAACCACAGGAAATTTTTCTTGGACTCAATCTTGTTTTGATTTTTCCATTTTGTATTATTTTTTCATGAATTCTAAATTCATTTTTTTATTTTATGGAAAAATAAACAAAATTTTATAAAAAATAAGAGGACAAATATAGTTAATAGACTATGTATCATCATCTTCACAGTAGTTACTCAAAATACAAAAGATAGACCAAAATTTTGTTGCAAAAAAGAAACAGATAATATCACAAAATTTTCTTTTCAAAGAACTAAGATAAATTAGTATTAAAAATGAAACAAATTAGAATATATGTCACAATATTTTTAAACAATGGAACAATTTAAGGAAGTATTTGAACTTCTCCTAGTTTCCTATTTATATATCTTCTATATTTCATATGTAAATGGATACAACTTGAGAACATAATATTAAGTGAAATAAGTCAGACACACAAGCCTAAATATCACGTGGCTACTTTCATACGAGAAGCACTATATACATATATGTTCCTCACTTCTCAAATTTAATTTGTTCCATGATTTTGGAAAAGATGGCCATGTTTGTAAACATGAACGTGCAGGAAAGATCTACATGTTCATGTTTGTCACGTGGCTTACAGTTTGTAAACAGAAACAAAATTTTGCCAAATCCTTTGGTTTGTGAATCAAATTGTTCAAAAACAAAAGCATTCATCAACTGAGATACCCTATACAGGTATACAAATACACATGTGCATATATGTATATATGCAAATAAACAGCAAAATAGAAGGTAGAAATTCTGTATTAGTTTTATTTTTTTCTTCACTGAGTGTTTTTGGGATTTTTAGGGTTTTTTCTTTTTTCCTCCTTTAGATTTTTCTGTTTTTCTCTTTCAACTTTTATCTCTTATCTGTCATTTAGTTCCTGTCTTTGCTCTCTGTTAATCTTTTTTTCATCATTTTCTTATGTATTCTTTCATACAACTCTTCAGTAACACTATTATTTTCATTTTATAACACAATAGGATACCCTATCTCACTTTTATCTCCTCTTTTTATATTCAATTGATTAATTTTTCAAATTTTGCACTTTTTATTCTTTGATTGTCCACTTTCTCTACCAGTATAACTATTAAGCTTTACTAATTTCAAAATAGCTAGTTATCTTCCTGCTGCTACTACTGAATCCTACTGTATTATTAAAAACACATATAACTAAAAAAAAAATTCATAGACTGATAGTCAAAGGATGGAAAACAATCTTCCCCACAAGGAACTCAGAAAAAGGCAAGAGAAGCTATTCTTTTCACAGACAATTCCAACTTCAATCGAAGAGTGATCAAGAGGGATAAAGAAGATCATGACATACTTTTTAGGTGGAAACTTCAAGATGAACAGGTAACAATCATGAATATGTACTCATGAAATACAGGAGCACCCAACTATGTAAGACAATTATTAATAGACATGAAAAATCAAATAAGCAATAACACAATTGTAATGGGAGACCTCAACACCCCATTATCATAAAGAGATAAATCAATTAGATGAAAATCGGCAAATTAATAAAAGAACTTAACCAAACCTGCGAACAAATGGACTTAGTGAATGTTTTTAGACTCTTACACCCAACATCATCAGAATTCACATTCCTCTTAGCTGCACATTGAATGTTGTCTAAAATAGACCATATACTAACCCACAGGGAATGGTTAAGTAAATTCAAAGGAATTTAAATTATCCCACACATAATATCTGACCATATTGTAATGAAATTAGAAGTTAATTGTAAAAGGAACTGCAAAAGTTTCATAAAAACATAGAAATTAAATGATACCCTCCTAAGCAAACAATTAGTCACAGATGAAATAAAACAATTAAATGATATCTACAACTAAATGAGAATGTAGACACAACATACTGGAACCTATAGGATGTTGTGAAAGCTGTCCTAAGAAAAAAATTTATAGCAGTGAATTCTCACATGAGGAAATCAGAACAAGCACAAATAAACAATTTAATGTTGCACGTGAAGCTTCTAGATAAAGAAGAGCAAGAAAAAACCCAAAGCCCATAAAAGGGAGGAAACTATAAAGATCAGAGAGGAGATTAACACAATGGAAACCAGAATTAAGGAATAAATGTATTGGGTTTTCTTTGTTACTGGGAATCAAACTCAGGATCTTGTGCTTGCCACGCAGGCACTTGTAGTGCTGAGCAATATCAGCAGCCCTGAAGAAATGAATTGAAGAGTTGGCTCTTTGAAAAATAATAAATAAAATTGATAAATCCTTAGCCAAGCTTATCAGAAAAATGAAAGAGAAGACTCAAGTTCACACATTAAGGAATGATAAGGGTGAAGTCACTACAGATCCTGTGGAAATTCAGAAGATCATCAATAAATACTTTGAAAATCTTTATTCTGCTGGGATGGAAAACAGAGAAGATATGGACAGATTCCTAGTTACATATGAATTATGTAAGCAGAATCAAAAAATATAAAATTTCTCAAAACCAAAATCAGTTAATGAGATTGAAAATGTAATTAAAAACTTACCAACAAAGAAAAGCCCAGGTCCTGATGGATTCACTACTGAATTCTACCAGAAATTTAGAGAAGATCTAATGCCATACTCTTCAAACTCTTTAATGAAATAGAAAGGCAAAAAATACTCCCTAACTCTTTCCTGGATGCAAGTATTATCCTGATACCAAAACCTGAAAAAGATAAAACCAAAAAGAAACTCCAGGCTAGTCTCCCTAATGAACACAGATGCAAAAATCTTAAGTTAGATAGTAACAACAGAATTCAACAAATCAAGATTATACACCATGACCAGTTGGGATTTATCCCAGCAATTCAGGGATGGTTCAACATATGCAAATCAATAAATGGAATACACCATGTCAACAGAGAGACAAAAATCGTGTGATCACCTCAATAGATGTAGAAAAAGATTTTGATAAATTCCAGCACTCATTGATGATAAAAACCCTACAGGAAATTACAATGGATGCTCTGTGTTTCAGTCTGATAAAAGCCATCTATGACGGAGGAACAACCAACATCATACTAATTGGAGAAAAACTGAAAGCTTTCACTCTAAAATTAGGAACAAGACAAGCATGTCCATTATCACCACTCCTTTACAACATATTTCTGGAAACATTAGCCAGAGCAATTAGATAAGACAGAGAAATAAAAGGAATAATGACAGGAAAGGAAGAAGTGAAATTATCATTATTCAAAGTTATTATTCAAAGTCATTATTATCATTATTCAAAGGATACAAAGTCAATACTCAAAAATCAGTTACATACTTATACACAAACAATAAACTTATTGAGAGAGAAATTAGGAAAACCATACCTTTCACAGTAGCATCCAAAAAATAAAATACTTAGGGATCAATCTAACTAAAAAAGTAAAAGATTTACATATTTAAAATTATAGTACTCTGAAAAAGGAGATTCAGGAGGATGTCGGAAAATGAAAAGGTATCCCTTACTCATGGATAGGAAAAACCAACATAGTGAAAATGGCCATGCTTCAAAACATGTTATACAGATTTAATGCAATAGTGATCAAAATGCCATTAGCATACCTCACAGAACTAGAGAAAATACTCCTAAAGTTCATCTGGAACCAAATGAGACTCAGAATTGCAAAGGCAATCCTGGGCAACAAAGACAAGTCAGGAGGAATCACAATCCCTGACTTAAATCATACTACAAAGCTACTATGATATAATCAGCATGGTATGGCAAAAAAAAAATAGATCTGAGGGCCAGTGGAACAGATTGAAAGATGCAGACACAGACTCTCTGCAGTACCACAAGAGCTGAGCTGAACCCCAGGGAGCATCAGAGGCCTGAGTAACTGTTCCTTCACCCCATTCCTTTTGGTGTGGGAACTGGTGAGGTCCTGGGCAGCATCTCAAACCTTGGTGACTACAACCTGCTCCACCCCCCAGCAAAAGCTGGGCTGAATTCTGGACATCTTCAGGAGTCCTGGCGACCCACCCCTGCCCACCTCCACCAGTATGTGAGGCAGGTGGAGCCCTGAACACCTTCTGGGGCCTCAGTGACCACTCCTTGCAGCCCTGCAGGAGCCAAGCTTAACCCCAGACAGTATCAGCATCCTTGGTGACTGTGCTCTCACACCACCCACACTGGCATGGATATCAGACTGGGTCCTGGGCAACATATGAAGCCTTGGAAACCACAACCTGCTCCCCTCTACCTTTTTGGAAGCCAGGGCTGAATCACGTACATCTCCAGTAACCACAATAAGCCACTCCCGCCCCTCCCCTGCCGGCCTGGGCACCAACTGAATGACAGAGAGAATTGGGAGCATCTGTGACCACACCTTGCCCTCACACACCGTCACAGGAGCCACGCTGAGCACTGGGGACCTTTGGATCCTCACCAGACTGGGAATGAGGCTGAGCTCCAGGGAACCTCTGGATCTTCAAAAACAACAAAACGAAGGAGCAAAATGCAATCTCAAACCTCCATACCACCCAGAACAAGTCCAGGAGACATCAACACAGAAGAGCCTGGGAGTCATATACCTGAAATTTCTGAAATGATAGCAAATGAAGTAAAGAAACAACTCCATCAGGCCACAGAAGACATCAGATCAGAAATAATCTCTCTGGTAAAAAAAGAAATTACAGGAATAATGAAAAAATTGCTCAGCACATCTAAAGAAGACATAGATAAGAAAATAGAGGAACATATAAAAATCACGGAAACCTTGAATAAACAACATAGGAAAGAACTAGAATGCATGAAACACATTGAAACAGATATCCAGGATGTTAAAAATTCTATCAAAAGCTGGAAAAACAGCCTGAACAAAGCTGAAGATAGACTTGCAGACCTTGAAGACAGCATTGCCACTAACAAACGTGAAAGGAAGGATATCTTAAAAATAACAAGGAGGGGCTGGGGATTTAGCTCAGTGGCAAAAGCGCCTGCCTGGCAAGCGCAAGGTCATGAGTTCGGTTCCCGGTACCGGAGAAAAACCAAAAAAAAATCAAAGGAACTCCAAAAACTCCTTAAACAATTGGAAATTAAATAAGAACCTCCTGAACAACCAAAGGGTCAGAGAAGAAATTAAAGAGGAAATTTAAAAAATA